TAGGACTTTGTACAAATTTAGCTTGGCAAATCTAGCATTCATCGAAAACATGAAATTTAGGAAGTAAAGAGTAGGTTCACTTGGATTTTCAGGTTCCAGCCTTCTTTAGTATGAAGTATTGCACAGTTTGGGATGAGGGGAGATGCAGACATGCTCTCCTGCCTGTAAATACCTGCAATATAGAAAAGAATTTGAATTTTCAGGATTTGTAAGAAAAAGTGTCTTTCTGTAGTCAGGAAGTTTAGTTCAAGAAATATTCCTTTCTTTAAAAAATTGGCATTTCTCATAGAGCTGTTCCTGTGAGCAGTTCTTAATAGAAGTGAGCCACATAGGGGCTTAACTTCTCAGTGGTGAACAGAGAGAATGTCTTAGTTTGTTGAGAATATTGTTTTGTCTTTATTTTCAGTTGTTTTTCTGGGTTCTCTCTTAGCTGAAACATGTGCTTGGTGTGAACCTTCTGATTGCCCATGAAATCTTGCTGAGGCACTTGACTCACTGTGGCATTCAAGCTGAGTCACTTAGAGGAGTCAGAGATGTTTTGTGAAGATGAGCAGAACATTGGTCAGAGAAAGCAAGGAAAGAAAGTTGCAAGGAAGGAAAGAAAAAAAAGGGAGAGAAATAACTTGGGAAGGAGCACGGGAAGAGGAGAAAACAGTGCATTTATGTTAGAAATATTTCAGGTTATTAAAATTGTTGGGAGCAGACAGGAAAAAAGGTTGGAAAGGAAAAAGTTGAACACTTAAAATATTCTAGTCAGTGTTGTATACTAACTAGAAATGTGGGTTGCAAACACTAAAATGACAGATGTGGCTTTAAATAGAATTTGTATTTTGTATGACATTTGAATCCAAGTTTGTTGTTTTAAGTGTAACTCTTGAACTAGTTTTCTATTTTCAGTGAAGCAGTTGGTGATAAATAAGTTAAAATGTCCCCAAAAGTCACGTTCATATTCCAGGCTTTAAATTAAATAATAAATAAAGTGCCATATAAGAAGAACAGCTGAAATAGTAGGCATTGTGTATGGCTAAGTTTCAGGAGTCCAAGGGAAATTGAATGAAGAAGGCTTTAAAAAAAAACCACCCAACCCAAACACAACCAACATCAGAGTTCCTTTAGTGCAATAGATGAAACACCTTGGGCAGACAATAGTTAAGCACAGAGACATGGTGAGTTTTTCATGCAGAAAAGTAACTCTTTGCTTGTGCCCTGCTCAGGTACTTGGACACCTGAAGCCTCTGATCTGAAAGCCTTGTGTATGGGTGTGCAGTCAGTGCTGCAGTTAGCATGAGTGGGGAGGGAAGGGGCTGGTCAGCAGTGATGGGGCTCACTGTTCTTCTTTGCCACATGTCCACGTTGTTCTGCCTCTGGAGCTTGGCTGAGGGTAGGGTTGTCCCACAGCCTGAGGGTGTCCTGAGGGACCCAGTCTGTTCTTGCTGGCAGCTCAGCCATGCAGCAGGTGCTGTTATTGCCAGCTCTGCCCTTTAAGGGTGCTGTGGTCTCTTACCAACCCAGACTAGGAGATGTTTCCCCTATCTTCCCCATGTTTTGTGCCTGCCCATCACAGAGCTGTGGAGGGGCGGGAGGGAGGCAGCAGGGAATCAAAGGAGTGGATAGAATTAGTCAAAGGCTAACAGCAATCACAGACAGAATCTGTATCACCTTTGGTGTAGCCTTGTCCTCAGGCTGCCCCTCCATATTCTCTTGCAGGGATTTGAGAGTCTTAATGTATATTGAGATCCACTGTGTACAATTTTGTGCCCCTGAAATGTATAGAATTTGGACTTCAGTTTTCCATTATTTTACACATACTGCTGGCTAGTTAAACATGGCAGCCTAGTTATAATTGCCTAGAGAATAATGAAGCTTGTTTGAAAAGAAACAAATAGGTTCTTTTTGTGACTTTCTAGTGTGGCTACATTTGTTTTATAAACATCTTTGTTCTGTAACAAGAATTGTAATAGATGATACAGAAGATTATATAATAGATCAAAAATACTGTGTTAGGGCTATTACTATTTTAATTGAAAATGGACAAGTAATGGATTTTGAAATTGTTCTGATAAAGCTCAACTCTTGTATTTCAGCAATGAATCATAGGTTACAAACAATTTTTACCATTAGGGCATGGAGAAAATGTACCATTCAAAGCTGAACACCACAATCAGGGATGCATGACTGAAGTTTCCAAGTAATGTGTTAGTAGTATTGTATGAGACAGTCACATGAAAAAGATCATGAGGTTGTGAAAAGGATTATGATCATGCTTTAGTCATGAATTTCCTGGTAGAGATATTTCAGCCTGGATCATTCTTGTTTAAATGAGAATAATTCGCCTTTGCTTGTTCTGACTATATTACCATTATATGGCAGAGGGAGAGAAAAGGTGTCTTACCTACAAAAGTAATATCCTTTGAGGAGCTGAATTTTACTTAAGCTTGCAATACTGTTTTCAGTCCTGAGAAACTGAAGTTAAAAAGATCCTTGAACAGTTTGCTAGAGCATTACAGTATACTGCATGTACTCACTCACCTGCTGCTGCTGTCTTCTCTGCAGGCATCTATGTTTCTCTTTCTGCCAGGGGTTTCATTTGTCCTGTGTGTACTTTAACTGCTTATTCCATATCGTGAACCCACTCTTCACATTACATAACATTCAACATTGTAAATCCTCAGTTGGTGAAAAACAGCATAGTGTGGAGCTCTGTTGGTCTGTCACCAGCCCTGATCACTGCCAGAGTGTCTCTGCTCCCTAGCATGATGTGAGTCAGAGCCCAGGTGCTCAGCCTGCCTGAGAAGGAGCAAATGTTCTTTACTTAAAGGTGTTTCCAGTCATACAATCTGAGGGTTGATTCCCTCCACTGACTCTTGGATAAAGATTTGTAACCTGTTTTGTTCTACTTCACCAGTAACAACTCTGTACTTACCTCTTTCCTCAAAGGAAAATATCGAAAGCTGCTGGCAGATGCTTTGAGATGTTTTTTATGTTTCTGTGCTAATCCCATTATGTATGTGTAAGAGCATTAAGGATGCCTTCAAAAGACCCTGTAAGTGGAAAAGACTATATGAAAGTAATATCTCAGTAAGTAACCTCATCATACGAAACTACTCGAAAAAGTTTGTCACAACCCTTTAATCAGTAACTGAAATGTAGGGGATTGAACTGGAGACAAACTACAGCCATTCCAGCCTGATGATTGAACAGTTTATAAAAATAAACCAGTAATGTACAGTGATTAGTCACTGACCTCTCTGATGTCCCTGGAACCAGTTTGGATGCAGATGCCTGTGTTTAACAGATATTCTTCTGGTCTTACATTTGTAAGTGGGACAGTGTTGTAAAAGAGTTATGCTTTTTTTTTTTAACCTTGTGTTTGCAAAGTAAATTTTCATATCTTATATTTGTAGAGGGTAAGAGGAAATTTTTTTTCCCTGTCTTCTATGTTGACTCATTTATTTTTCTATATAAAGTAATTAGAAGGTTTTCCTGGATTCCTTTTCTCTGCCAACCTGTTGCAAGTACAGGAGCTTCCAAGAGGTTTTTGTGTGTGCGCAGTAATGTGGTTGCAAGTAAACAGAACAACCAGCTGGTATTTTAGGAAGTTAAGATGGACTCTAATGCTTGTGGTTTGCTGCAAAACACATTTTAGTTAGCAGCTGTGGGGGCCTGAAGAGGTCCAACTGCATTGACCACATCTTGTTTGCAAGTCAGTTGCATCTTAGGGTGCACTGACCAGGTCATTGTGTCTTTGTGTGTATAAGGTCAGTGGCAGCTCTAGTCAAGGTGCACATCAGGAGCTAAACACTCTGTCAGTGTTAAAAGATTAAAGCATTCATGACCTCTTTTCCTGTTACCTTCGTCCTTGCATTTGCTGCAGTGTTTTGGCAGCATCAGAGTATGCACAAAGACCCAAAATAAGTCTCTAAAAAACAGAAGTCACAAAGTACAGCTCTTGGCTTATATTTAGCTTTCTAGTTCAATAACAACTTTACATACCCTTGGATTTTTCTTAAGTTTCTTTTATAATGATTATTCCAATTTTATCTATATATTTTTTGCTATCAGATGTAGACAAGACAGATGTCATATTTTGTACAAGAATGGATTGTTTTCAGCTCTTAAACACAAGATATGCTTTTGCAGTGTCTTCTTCATAACCTGTTGAATAGTTTGCATGTAATACTAAATTGAAACCCACGTTGTCTAGATGATATAATTTCCCCAAATCAGTAGAAATTACTGCAAGCTACACAGTGCCAGCATTAACAGTGTTTTTTGGAGTTGCATAAGCAGATGTTTTCCATATAACCTTACTTTTAAATGCATGTCCATGTAGATCTTTGAGGTCAGTAAATCCGTATAAGTAAAAAGTACTAAAATAGTACTTTTTAAGCATATGAACATCTAAGCAGTACATTGAAGTGGGTTAATAACTTATTTTTAAATCAGAAATGGCCAATTGCAAAGTAGGGAATTATGCAGTGTGTGTGGTTAGTGGAGGTACTTCAGCAGCACAAAAGAGAACAAGTGATATGTGGGTTTTCAGCTATATTCTCTGCCCGTCACTCCCATGAACAGGAAAATACAGTAGTGTTATTTTAAAGTAATTTTTATTCTTTCATAACTTGTGTTTTAACAAGGTGTTCAGTATTACAGGTTATCTTAGGCATAGATGCCTCTGGAAATACACACAAAAATCTTCTGTTATGACTGTAAATGCTGATCTTTTTCTTGTAATTGCCTCCTGTAAGGCAGAGTCTAAATACAGAGTCTGTCTTGGATAAGAAAAGAGCACTAATAGAATTTCTGCAGCAAAAATGTTGCAATTGTTATTATTTTATATGCATATATTATTATTGTAATATATTATTTTAATGCCAATATCTTGAGTTTTGTGAGCCAATCTGTTGGCATAAATAAGTACCAGACTGACACGTAGCACAAATGTTGAGATTGCTTTTACACCTCATTGGTTCCCCTTGTGTTTGTTGTAGGAAACAGAGATGAAGGTACACATGCACACAAAATTCTGCATCATTTGTTTGCTGACATTTATCTTTCATCAGTGCAATCATTGCCATGGAGATGGACATAACAATGGTCCTAAAAAGGATTGTGTACACTACCACAATGACTATCAGATCTCAAATGAATCATACTTCCAGAGTGGAGGAACAGAATCTGTGCCGAGTAAACTTTCAACATTGGAAGCTGAAAATGAACAGAAATACTACATTGAAAAGATTTTTGATCGCTATGGTGAAAATGGAAGATTATCTTTTTTTGGCCTGGAAAAACTGTTAGTAAGCCTTGGTTTAGGAGAGGTAAAAGTGGTGATGATAAATCATGATGATATTGGTCATGACCATGTTTCTCACTTATATGCTTTAGAAGTCCAGGAGGGAAAGCATTTTCATTCTCATAACCACCCTCATAGCCACTCAGAGTCAGAAAACCAAACCATGGTTGGCATGTCTGCAAAGAGGAATCACAAATGTGACCCTGAGAGAGAGGCAGCAGTGCCATCAGTGAAAGATGATGGCAAACACGTTCATGACCAAAGTCGCCATCGCCATCATCATCACTCTCGGCCACATCGTCACGACCACAACGGCACACATCATCCTCGGAATGACTCGGTGAGTCACAGTGAACACGGAGAGCAGAACCACGAACCTTCAACTGAGACAAACACAACTCAGGACCAGCCAGAAAGAAAACAACGGAAACAGAAGAAGAAGCAAAAGAAGCTCAGTGAGACTTCAGGAGATGCCACATGGGATTACACTCCAGACCATGATCCTGGTGATCAGAATGAGCACAATCGTGTTCACAAACATGACCATGAACATGATGCGTCTCACTTGCATGTGCACCATCGTGACCACAGCAGTGACCGTTCTGCTGGTCATGGACACCAGGATGCCAGTGTAGGGCATGACAGTGGACACCGCCACACCAGCAAGAGAGAGGCACCTCGGAAGCAGGTTAGTGTCAGAAAAGGTGCTCGTTTCTCACCGTGTAGGCACAAGGATCCCGATGGAGATGAAGGTGATCGTGAAGAGGTGAGTGTGAAATGGGAGCTGATATGCTGACTTTCACTGTTGTTACTTAATAATTGAAGGTGCATCCCCACACATAGCTGAGAAACACTTTTGTGACTGTAGTGTAACCCAGGTCACGGAGTGAAAATGCTAAAGGTCACTGCCACAGTTTTGAATTTATGAGTTTTCACTTCTCAGAGATGTATGTTCTTGCCTATTTATCTGTATAAAGGAGATCATTAAAGTTTTCTGAGATGCCCTGCTTACAGGTAAGGTTTATTCCCTTCCCAGTATTCACACACACCTTTTTGGACTTCTTTCTGAATCTGAGATCATTAACATCTTTGGAAACTGCAGTATTTCCTGAAAGAAATACCTGCATCTTCTCAACATCTTTGTTCAGAAATGAAGTAATAGGACAAAGAGTAATGGGTATAGATTGAAAGAGGAGAAATTTAGATTAGATATTAGGAAGAAGTCTTTTCCTGTGAGGGTGGTGAGACACTGGCACAGGTTGCCCAGGGAGGCTGTGGATGCCCTGACCCTGGCAGTGTTGAAAGTCAGTTTGGCTGAAACCTTGAGCAGCCTGGTCTGGTGGGAAGTGTCCCTGCCCAGGGCAGGGCGTTCGGAATAGATGATCTCTAAACTCCATTACAACCCCTTAATCTACTACAAAACTATGAAACATGCTTCTAATGTCTTTATCCTAAGAGATTATGAAGCAATTGTAGAGGTAGCTTCTGTAGCAGTGTTCTCGGTGTAAGCTCCTCTATTTCTTCCTTCAACATCCATTATTTCTGCCAGCACCATAAAGATGCTTTCCCGTCCCCTTGCAGTTAGCTACAGATGCAGGACATTGTGGTATCATAGACTAGAATCCAGGCTAGGATCCCCTTACAGTTAGCTACAGATGCAGGACATTGCGGTATCATAGACTAGAATCCAGGCTAGGAAAGGATGGAGTGTGTTCAAGATTTTAAACTGAATTAAGAAGTGAAACTCCAGACCCAAAAGGTTGGTAGGTAAACAGCATTGTTAGTAAACCTATTTTGTATTTACATTCTTTCATTCCTTACCTGTTACTCTTTCTCCATTGCTTGTGTAACGGTCAAGAATACAGAAACTTATTTTCATTGATACTCACCAAAAATTCTGTGGGTGTTGGGAGACTTGGGTTTGTACTGCAGATATTTTTACTGTTCTTTTCCTTATAAGCCACTTAGATCAGCTTAAGATGTGTTTTAGCGCTGGTGGAATGTTTGGGCCAAAGTTTCTGCTCTCTGTGTTCTCCAGTGATGTGCTAAATTTGCCACTGTAGCTTTCAGTAAAACAGTTGCTTTTGTATTGAATTTGTTTGTACAATTTTCTTGCAGTGCTTAAATGCTACCCAGCTGCTACGGTACTATGGCCTGGAAAGCAGCTCTCTGATCTCTCCTGAGCTGTTCGTGTACTTGTGTCCAGCTCTGCTGTACCAGATTGAGAGAAGGCTTTGCATTGTGCACTATGATGAGCTTGAAGATTTTATGAAGAGTAAAAATGCGTCAAGTGAGAACAGAGATAAAACAGGTGCATCAGGTAGGTGTATTGCAGCTAAAGCTTTTTAAATTATTTTGAGTTTTAAATACTAGCTTTTATGAACTATTAATCATAATTATTTTTGTTTTGTTATTATTTTATTAATGTGTATTGTAATTATTTTTAATATTAACTATAAATATAACAGTTAGAAATGTCATGCAACTTAGCATTGCCTGTAGAGTAGAGGAATGGTTGAAATTTAACATGTTAGAAGAAATTTGAGACAGCAAACTCCTTTGAACCAGGAGACAGCATCTTGTGTGACTTTTCCTAGGGAACCGTGGATCAAGGAGGCATACCTTTCCTTTTGTACCTTTTTGTCTTTTTTTCCATTATTATTTACTACTTTGTTTTCTTATTTCTATTTCTTTTCATTGTCTTCCATCATTGAGGCCTGGATTCTTCCAGCATATATTTAGATGCTGAACACTTGTGGTAACAGTGTGGGCAAGGGACAGAATCTTTGGAGACAGAAGCACCTCTAGGGATGGGCAAGTCCACCCACAGTTTGGATTGTTGCCATCATTTAAAATATGTTATGGCTTTTTCCTTAGCGTGCCTGAGGTGGTCCATGTGTTTGTCTCAAGGCTTGGAAGTTGCAGTATTACCTTAGCACTAAATTTCTTAACAGATTTGACCTGAATCTGCTTATTCAGGGATAGAGAACAGCACTTTCATCCCAGTTCATTAGCTGGGAAATAAGATTTTAGATGTTACTGGTTTTATATTCGAGCAGTGATACAAATTAATAGAATTGATATCCAGATGTTTTTGTGAACTTAAGAAAGAGACAGGAGCAAGAGACGAGCATTTAAACTGACATTTCTAACACTTCCCTTTTCTGACTTCCAGTGTCAGTTTCTCTATACTGCTCCTCTGTTAAGCACACGACAAGGCTTCCATCAAAATACTCTGCTGGCAGCTTTCTATTTTTGTGTGTGTACCTTGAGTGAAAATCAGTAGACTTCTTATCTCATTGCCATAGTTCTAAGCTAAAAATATTTTTACTACTGTTAAAGCAGTTGCTTTAAGGGCAGAATCTATTGTTGTGATTTCATAACTGAATGTTCTTTTAAAACACACATTTGCTACTGCTGTATTTACTAAATCATAATGGAGCTGTTTATTTAGTTGCAATGAAATATTAAAAATATATACTATATATAATATGCATATAGAATATACTATATAAATATAAAATATGTAATATATAGAATATATCAATAGATATACAATATAAAAATCTTGGGTATATTGTGTTTTGAAAATTAAAATATTGGCAGTGGTGAATATTGATTAGTACATAGGTGCTTGTTAGCATCATTAGAAATAAAGCTTGGAGTAACTACATCCTCATAGATGTTAGTTACTGTTAGAAATAATGCATTGCTTGTAATATGTCTTAACAATTCTGGAGTCATTAATTAACTTCTTATACATAAATCTCCGATAGTGACACCTCTACTATCTTGGTAACTGTTCAGAGATTGTTGTAAGCCAAATATATATATATACACATACACATACACACTGTGTGTTTCACTTGGCAGCAAATCACTGTGTGGGTTAGTCTCATTGTAGTAAGAGCTGACCCCTTATTACCAAGAGCATTTCTGGATCAGCTCTAAGCATTTTCTGCCATTTAAAATGTTGAAACTCTGTACAAAACTGTCAGTTGCACATGCTTTGAGCCAGTTTAATTAGGAGGTTTCTACAGCTGAGTGCTTCTTTTTAAAGGACTGCATTTCATTTCTCTGTAATGAAAGAGTTGATGAATAACTCGGCCTGAAGACCTTTAGCATTTTAAGAGACTTAATTTGCAAAATTAGTGAAGTTTGTTGTGAACGTTTGACATGTTTTATAGAATTTGATACGTTAGGTATAAATAACACCTTGGCCAATTCTGAAAAATTTGCTCTAAAAATGAACGGTAACTAAAACAGGGCAGCTTGATTAGGTAATGATAAATTATTCTTCATAACAGCTTCCTGGATACTGTTGTATTACCTACAGCAAGATTTGGGGTGATTCAATCATATGTAATGTAATAATAACTTTCCCTTCTTAAGTAAGGAAGTGACTCACAGAATAACAAATCCTAACTGCAATATAGGGATTGTGGGACAAATGTCAGTTACAGAGAACTTAACTTGCTGGTTATAAGATTCTCCTGAAATGAAAATGTGAGCTGATATAAACATTTTTAGGCAGAAGTATTTACCAAAGTTAGTCATTTGCAGTCATTTTTAAACATGAGCTTTCTGTGGTTTTCAAAAAAACAGACCAGTGTTGCTTCTATTCATTGACACCAACCTGTGAGGTTTCCATTACCTCTGACTGGTTTTCTAAAGCAGAGAAGCTTAACTGATGACCAAACACTTCTGAAGCCATGTTGGGGTTTCTTCCTGTAATTTACAGGCCGTTCTGTAACACCTTCTAATAGAGGATTTTTAAGGGGTTATTCACACAGCTGAGCTTTCCCAGTGTGCCTGCTGGAAGAGGTGGGATTGGTAGCACTGAGGGCTCCTAAGCAACTTGCCTTCAAAGGAAAGAAACACCCTACTATGAATCAAGCTGGTAGAAGTGATACAAGTAAGCAGTGAGGGTGTTTTTTTAAAGATGAAGATCACTTAGAGCTGATGATTAAAAGTATCTCCGATCAGATACAGCTTGTGACTCTGCCCATGCAGATGCCAGTGTTCCCTGGAGCTCGAGCCAAGAGCTGCATATGCTAATTCTCATGTGCCTCATCTTAATCATGATGCCACGTTTAGGTACTGTCTCATTCACCAGAGTATTTCAGCCCTTCAGAGATGCTTTTGCCAAAATGATGCTTATATGAAACTTAAGCCAGTTTGCATAATCTCCTTTCCATTTTCTCCATGTAAGGCTGTTGCTGTCTAACCTGGCCCATCACCATGTCTGTGTCCAGGCTGGAGATGCTGCGAAATGACTGTCATTTTGATTTGGGCTGCCTGTGCATGCATGCATGACTCAGGATTGAGTGCCAAGTCCATGTATGCTGGTTTTCTCAGCAGAGCCTGTTAATCCAGAGTACGTGGCTGCAGTGCTCTGGGGGTGAATCAAGGCTGTGGCAGTGTTTTGGTCATCAGGGTCCTGCTTCCACTTTAGACCTGCTTTTGTATTCCTGTTTTCCAACCTCTGTTTTTTAGTTCCTGGCAGTCTTTGCCTTTTCACCAGCTCTCTTTTTCTCTCAGTCTCAGTGTGCATGTGTGTCAGTGCACACCACATACTGTCTAAAGCTTTTTCCACTCAGTTTCTCCTGGTGGCTGTGGGCTTTTACCCTTTGCATTTGAACTGGATTGTTTCCTTTTGTGCAGTGTTGTGGAGTGACAACTACAGACTTGGTGAGAATGAATATCCCAAAACAGGATTTAAAAGCTTTAGTGTTGAACCAGCCCAAACCTGCAGCAGCCACAGTTCTATGGGCAAAGCCTTGTCAAATCTGATCTGTAGTGGCTTTGGTACAAATGGAATTCTTGGGACATTTGGCATTCTGACATTGAGCAGCTACATCATCTTCATTCCTCCTCTCTTCTCCTCTCATCCCTCCCACCTCATTTTCCAGGATGTTTTCCCCTACTTGATCAAAACTGAGTGGACCTTCACTGGTGCAAAGAAAGTCAGCTCATGCTCTGAAATAGGGAAATACTAATGATTTTGAATCAGGAATTAAGTTACATTAACACTGGCAAACTGTGTAGACATTTTTGATACAAAAGCTAGGAAAAACCCAAAGCCTTTAGGCTGAAACTTAAATAAAGTATTTTATTAGGGTGAGATGCTGACTGCCAGAGCCATGGCTCTTTGCTTATAGGATCTGTTTGTTGTGTAATTCCTTCTTTTCCATATCATATGGAAATTTGTGCATCTTTGCTAATTAGGAGGATTGTGTTGAGTGTGCCACATCCCATTATCACTTTCTCTTCTAATGTCCACAGTAGAGGTTCTCAGAAAAAAAAAATGCTGCTTTTTGTTGGTAGAAAGTTACTTTCAGCACTTCATGAGCAGGACTTGATTATAGAGTTCTTCTTTCAAAAGTTGAGTCTTACTTCTCAGTAGAACAGTATGTTTCAAAGCACCAGGTGAAATAAATAGTTCCTAACTAAACATGTGATTCCTAACAGAGGAGGAGAAATATTGATTCCGGTTAAATTTTGCATCAGAACCATGTTAAAAGATGTTAAATACACATTAGTGCTAGTAGAGTCCTTGTAAGTTAAGTAGCAGAGATGGTTGTATTCCAAGAGGAAATTTGCTTTTTGTGTTTAATTAAGGGCTACAAAGCTAAGCTGGAGCTAACAATCAGGAAGAATCGTGGAGCTCCTTTTAGCTCATTGTCTTCTGGCGTCCTTCACTAAATTGTGCTGTAAATAGATCTGTGTATTTTTTTTGTTGTGGACTTTGGTGCTGACTTCCCATTTTTCAGCACCTTTTGAATGAACAGTCACACAGCTTAGGTTAAAGGAAAGTCACCTTTTTAAAAAATAGTTGAAAGTCATTAATCAGTCTTAAAGTTTTCCCAGGTGTTGTTCTGATAACCTTTCTGTATCCGTTTCTCCCCACAGCCTGGTTTTGTGGTATCATCTCCATCACCGTCATTAGCCTGCTTTCCTTGCTAGGTGTGATCTTGGTTCCCATCACTAACCAATGGTGCTTCAAATTTCTTCTAACTTTCTTGGTAGCTCTGGCTGTAGGAACCATGAGTGGAGATGCACTGCTCCATCTGTTGCCACATGTAAGTATTGTTTCCTTGCCTTTTATTTTTAAATGTGAATGAATCTAGAATTTTCAATGATTGTTTATTAGTGTCAATAAATAAATGTTCCATGATGCAGATGTAGACTGTCTTGACCAGGAGGGATATCCTGGAACACTGTTGGAGACTTTCTGTTAACAAAAAGAAAGGAAATGTGTCTTTCTATAATATAAAAAGGGAAATAAAAAAGTAGTTATGTATTCATAGTTGAACTGCTGTCGCACTGCTGTCGCACTATTTTGCTCTTTCTAATGAGCCCAACGAAAGAAAATACTTTAAAATGTACTTTAAATGTTAAAATTTAAAATAGAAAATACTTTTAAAGTTAGCAGTAAAATACTTTTAAAGTTAGCAGTATTGCTGTCTCTTGTCTAGTGGTAGTTGTGTCAGTACCACCTGGGCATTAACCTTCCTGGTTACTAACTTTTGGGGAGAAAATAACCTCTAGCATTGATGCCGAGAAAAGCTGTAAAAGAAACTACTCACAGACTTGTATCTCTGAGTAGCAGGTATTTGTTTATTCGGCGCTGGGCACAAGGGGGATCGCTCCACCAAACTTGTGCTACCAGGGACAAAACTTCATGGTTTTTTATACATTCCTTCCAGAGATGGGTGGTCAATATTATTACAATTAGTTCTAAAAAAAATCATTGGCATGTCCCCTTCCTCAACCTGCACGTCCCCCTCCTCAGCCGGCACTTTAGGGCATACTTCTCTCATTACTTCCAGAGATGGGTGGTCATTATTATGACAATTCTGAAATCATTGTCACCAACCCCTTCCTCAGCCAGCACTTAGTGGCCCTTTAGGGCATACTTCCCCTAT